GGTGCACCCTTGTGTCGCACAAGGCTAGTCATCGTTCTGCACCATGTGTGTCACGAGGTACGCAATGGGTTAATATCATTTCGATATATTTGATCATATAGTAAATGTTCACATTCGTTCTCTCAAATCGGCGTCTAAGGCAATGAACACGATGGCGGGGGTGGAGCAGTTTTGAGGGTGTCATTGAACGCCATCGGCGACCAACTCCCTCAGCGTGTGTGGTTGGCACCACCGCCCCTTGCCCCTTCACCAGTCACACTCAATAACGTCACTAGAATTGCTCCGCCCTCCACTCACCGATTACTGCTTTCTAATATTGCTGCAGGTTTACGCTGCAGCGCTCAAATGGACGAAATTCGACTTACCTGCTCGGGAGAAATTACTGCCAAAGGTAAGGTTTTTGCTCCTGGTCAGCGTTTGATGATTATTCGTAATTCGACTTTACAGCTTTTGGAGCATGTACGACTCCCGCTTTGTCCCCCGAAATTTCTCGTCAATACAGTCAGCAAGGATTCGTTGGTGATGGCTGACGCTGCGTGCCGAGAACTCGTTGACGAAGCGAAGGTTGCTGGCCTTTTCGCTGAGCTATTTCCCTGTTCTAAATTCTAGATTTTAGAATTGCCTACTTCTACAGTTACCTGCACCTGGACGACCAAGCATGCAGGGACCCCGTACTCGACCGCGGAAACCATTCAAATTTCCTGAAGTACTATACCTAGGTATGATGAAGCATCGCAGCTCTTTATAACTCTGGTCACAGTGCCGTTCAAATCCGCGTTGTTCGGGAATGGAAGCCGGGGAAGGAAACCTTACTTCTGAACAGTACTCCAATAGGACGCCCACGGTGGTCAACTGGAACTGAAGGAAAAGAAAATATGGTGGCAGGAACATTTGATAAAAGTTGTGATGCTCACAAGTAAAAAGTGGCAGAATGGAAGGCATGCAAGTTTCTAAGTTCATTGGGCCACTCATTTCAAGGTTGGTGGTTTCACAACCGCAGAGGTACGACACCTGTAGCGGACACGCTGGTGGACTTGTAGAGGCGCTAGGGTTTTAATACCTGTAATTTGGACACCTTAAGGGCGTAGTTTACTCTGAATGAGCAGCGCATTTGCAAGGTAAAGGTGGTCATTCAGGCACGAATGAAGGGAAAACCATGTGAACTGGCGGAGAGCACGAGAAGCGGGAGATCCCGCTCAGCACATTGATTTTCCGCATTGTTGCGACTCTCACCGGTGCCGCTCTCTTCAACGCTAATAGGCCTCGTCTGCTTATTAGCGCGCGTAGACTCAGCACTGAAGAACGGCTGAGTCTTGAGCCGCAGCGCGCGTAGGGGCACATACAGTTTCCCTGAACATGCGCACGTCTGGACACTCAGGACCTTGATGTCTCTCGGGGGGGCGGGGATATCTTTCCGCTGTCTTTTGACCACCGCTTTATGAATAGGAAATCTCTTCATATACATATTCACACTGATTGTTCAATAATGATTACTAGCCAACCTAAAACTTTGCTTCGGACAAAACTGAAGCTCATCAGAGTTATCTGAAACAAACTGTTCAGAGGGGAGAAAATGTGGACAAAGTTTACGATGCGCGAGAAGTTCAGATATCAACACAAAAATCCATGTTGAAGGCACCGAAAAATTTTGACGATTAGGACGATGTGGCAAACGTTTGGAGGAAGGAGCGTTAAGAAGGCAAAAGTAATACGTCTACATCAACTAGTCATTTTATCCTACCCCCCACCCCCTCCCTCTCATCTAAACGGCCGTTCTGGAGAGAAAAGCCGGCCAGACGTTGTGGTGTGTGTTGGCTTCAAAACCTTACAGGAATCGAGAGCAGGAGAGAGATAGTAGGCCGGCGGGGAGGCGCACATCGAAATTCTCTTAGAAGGTGATGGTCGAAAAGTTCCTGAAATCGGTTGAGCCCGAGGTTAACCCTGTCGGCAAATTAAATAGCGCCTGCTGTTCCATGCTTGAAATCCATTACTCATTCCTCTACTAGGGTGCGTTACAATTCTCCTCCTCAGTCCAGACCACTTAAAATTTTAGATCACCACTTCACTTTGTCTGAAGCACAGCGCGACGAAGTCATAGGCCAAATCATAAGGCTTACAGCATAAGCCAAGTGTGTAGCACTATAAGGCCTAAGCCAAGCCAAACCAAGCCTTAACACCTTACTTCAACGACTCGCGGCAGGCTCTGGGGAAGTTCAAGCCCACAGAGGAGAACGTCTCCCTTTTGTTATGTGGTAATATGCCTTCAAGAATCCCCCACACTTTTGTTCAGGCGCACTACGCGGAACCTAGGGGTTACGTCTATTATAAGGCGTTTGTGTCTGTTAAACGACCAGATTTTTAATTTCATCTCGAGAATTGCAGTTAGATATGAATTTCAGTCGGAGGATTCCGCGGATCGCAGCCTCTCAGTTCTGTAGAATGGATTGATCCTGGAGAAGCAAGCCCTGTGTGGAAGCCTGCTGCTTCCATGAGCAAGCCAATGTATGACATTTTAGACTAAAAGTTTGCTTTCTAAAATTAGTTCCTTCAATAGATTTGGAAGCAATGTTGCTGTTCTCGACAATCTACTCTACTCTGTTGGCGGCCATGATGGGCTAACCTTCGTCAACAGCATTCAGAGGTTAAGTCGTTTTACATTCAAACAGCTAGAAGGAAAAGAGAAACCCTGGTTTTTGATGAGGTTGATTTTAACACACCAACTGACGCACGTTCCACGTTTTTGGCCGCGTGAAACATCAGTAAAAGTGTTTGTAAGCCTATTGAAAAGAAAACTTACCGTAGATTTGGAGGAAGACTTCGATGGACAGCTTTTTCATCGTGACTTAGGCAGTTACGGTAGGCCTCGGCGGGGTTCCTTCACATTTCAAGGGGCAGGAAGTTCATCTACCTCGCTGCCCTGGCAATGTGAACTCATGGTTAGCTGTGTGCTGGCGCTCACTGAGCGGCGTGACTTCTTGTCCCTTACCCTCCACTTCACTCTTATGATGGTACTGCCGGTTGACAACTTCCGGCAGTCTAACTCGACTTTACGTAATTTTTTTGGAGCCATGTGAGGGCAGAATCAAGACATGACATTGGAACTTCAGATTTGATCCCGTCACTAACCAGTGGTCGAACATCGCTTCAATGCACACGATTCGGGAATCTTGCGGTGTTGCTGCGATGGGCGGCTTTCTCTACGCAGTGGGTGGAGTGAGGGGTACGGAATGTCTGAACGTTGTTGAACGGTATGTGTGTGTAATGGCAAACCTTTTTTTTGCTTTTGGTAACCTTTTAATTGCAGCTATGATCCTGGCCGAAACGCATGGACCAACGTGGCGCCTACGCGTTCACGCCGGTGTGGAGTGTCTGTCGCAGTGGTCAATGGATGTTTGTACGCTGTCGGAGGACGAGATGGATGGCTAACCTGGAGTACTGTCGAAAGGTGAATCAGTGTGCATAAAAATTACACTGTAATCACGGTTTTCGGCACTACTGCCACGACCTGTTTGCTGCCACGGGCTTCCATGTTGAGAGAGTGGAGGCGCCTCTGTGCCAGCAATCCCACCTATCCCTTACGGAAGAGGGCCACCCATCGCAGTTGTGTGTAGGGCTTACATTAACGCCCGTGCAAGTTTTGGCTTATCGCCCGCGGGGCCGGTGAGCGCGAGCGCCACCTTGGAAACGTTGGTTTTGAGTTGCAAGTGCAGAAAATGAATAAGTACCCAAAATCAGCTTTTCAGTAATAGCTAATGCCTTTTTGGAGGTATATAGTAGTGGAATTTTGACCGAAAAGACGTATGCTTGATAGTGAAAAAGTACAAGATATCAAAGTTATAAGTCGGGATTAGGAGCTAAGAGCCAGTCCCTCTCAGAGTGTGAAAGTGGGGTCACCAAGCACAGAAGTCGTGACACCATCCGACTCAAAAATGCTCGACAAGATCGAGGTGGCCGTGCCATTTCCGCCGTCAGCGCTGCCATCCTTATCAATCGCGACATTGCGTTGGGCCCTTCCGCGTTTTCCCCTCGCAGCGCTGTGTCTCTCCGTTATACCACGGTCGACCTCACAAGGGAAACTTCAGTGTTTTCTATGGAGCTTTTTGCTTTTCCCTCCTCCCTTAAGGTTCCTCTTTGCTTTTCTTATCCAGTTTTCGAACACAATAACACACGAATTCGATTCAGCCGAAACGCATAGCATTTTTATTTACATGTTACTGAAAAAGCAACTAGAAAGTCTTGAAATCTCAGAAAATCGTGCTAAGCAATACACTCCTTGAACTACGCCATTTAAGTCATGTCGGAGTAGAATCAATCTGCAAAATAAATATGAACTACTCGTAAAAAAGTTGTGTACACACAAATAGATTACATGGGTGTGGACCTTATATGGCCCACGCTGTCCCGAATGGCTGGGAAGTGCGGAC